CCGCCGCCAGGGTACAGCCCGCTCCGTCGGCAGGGCGGCGGGTTCGCCCGTGGGCCAAGCGGGCGGCCCCCCGCGGCTGCTCTCCGGGGGGAAACGAGGCGCGTGGCGCCGGGGGACAATGCAAAGGGGGGTCAGCCAAAGCGCCAGATCTTGCAGGATCCTGCAGAGCTACGGTAGAGGGAAAAAATTAGTGAACACCCCCCCTGCCCCCAAAACTCAAAGTTGGGCACGCGGGGGGCAGACTGCGGTCGAGGTGCCACTCATCAGGCCCACCGCCAGCTTTGAACACTGGGGGAAGGGGGAGGCGTTCACAGAGGAATGTGGCAGGAGTGTTCGCTGATTTTGTCCGAGGCCTGTAGGGGTGCATTGACCCAGGCTCGGGTGCAGGATCCTGCAGGATCTCGCGCGGCGCGACTGGCCCGGGTCTGGATCCACCCGGGTCAATCGGTCGATAGATCTAGAACGACGCGAAGATCGGGACAAAATCGGATCGGGATAACTCGAAATCTCTGAGAATCGGCGGGTTTGGAGGATGTATTGGGCGCCGCGGCCACTCCAGAGCGTTCCGGAACGCTCTGAGAGCGCTCCGGAACGCTCTGGAGCGATTTATCCCGATCCTTGCCTTGTTTTAAGATCCCCGATGGCGGCTGTGCGTCCCCTGACCTCCTCGCGAACCTCCTCGCGTCGCGAGCAGAGCGCACGACCCTGACCCCGGATACGCCGCACTCGGGCGACTTCGCACGCAGGGCGGAAGTCCCCGCCGTACGGCTCAAGCTCCTCTGATACTGATTTCCGCCCTTCTTTGCCGTCGCTGTTTCCGCGATACTCTTGCGTGAATCCACTCTTTTTTCTGAGGCGGAAATATCCGCTCTACTTTTCGCGTCGTTTGGGGCGCGTCGGAATCAGCCAACCTGCGGCGGATCCGAAGTCAGGGGACGGACAGTTCTTCGGACAGTTTTCAGCCTCCGGGGGCCCTCGCCAAGCCCCAGGACCGTCAAGAAAAGGTTCGGGCTGTGAGAAACCTGTGCCAGGGCAGGGTCAAGACCTCTGGGGGCACGCTGGCAGAACTCACGGCGTTGAGGGTCTGGGTCCTGTGCCAGTGGGGAGGGGCACCCGAAGTTTTCTTCCCGTCTTCCCTCCTCTCCCTAGAGTTTTCTGGGCTATCTCGAGCTTCTGAGACAGTTCCTCTGTTTGGTGTTACTGTTGTTCTTCGAAAGGGCTCCTTGTGGGGGCACCATTGTCTGATCCATCACATTCCTGCGCCGCAAAGATCTCTCCCTCCCTTCCTGCCCCCTGGCCAGCGGCAAGCGATTCGTGAGGATTATCTTTCCCTCAGTATTATTATGTGTATTGTTTTCTGTCTTCGCCTAATATCAGTGTTAACATGATTTATTGACTGGCGTATCAATTTGCTTTTTGGCTACCATTATTTTTCAGCATTGTATAGTTGCACGTTTTATAGTATTGTTGTTGTTGTTGTTGTTGTTGCTGTTGCTGTTGCTGTTGTTGTTGTTGTTGATGTTGTTGTTGTTGTTGTTGTTGTTGTTGTTGTTGTTGTTGTTGTGTTTCTTTGTATTGTTATTATTAGTTCTAATATTATCATTCGTAGGCTTACTCTTAGTATTGATATGATACTTATCAGTACTATTATTACTAGTCGTATTCGTATTTTTGTTGCTGCTGCTGTTGTTGTTGCTGCTGCTAGGTGTACCCGCATTATTCTCGGTATTGCTACAGGTAGTATGCCGCCTGCTACCATGACTTGTCTTCGTATTCTTCCTCATTGTTGTGCTTCTTCGTCTTCCTCCTCTTGCCTCTCCCTCTGTTCGCCGACAGGACGGCGCCGCGTCGCCGCAGAGGGTCGCGGCGGCCCCCGCGGCGGCGCCGGCGGCGGCGGGCGCCCCGCGGAGCGAGACGGGCATGCTGTGGATCTTCGAGGCGAGCGGCCCCGCGGCCGCTGCCGCCAGCAGGGCTCGTTTCGATTCCTCCGATTCGATCCGATTCGATTTCGATGGTTTCCGATTCCGATTCGATTCGACTTTGGATTCCGATTTGGGCTCCGATTTCTCAACGGAGACCTACTAGCCCGCCGATTTCCGCCGATTCGACTTTTCCCGACTCGGCTGCCGATGTCCGCCGATCCGATTCATTTCGATCGCCGATCCGACTTATCGATTCGATTCTGGGCTCCCCTGCGCCAGCGGTGGAGCCTCGGCCCCGGGGCCCCAGGGGGCGTCCGAGGCGAGCGTGCGCTGCGCGAGGGCGAGCGTCGGAGGAGGCCGGTGGAGACAACCAGGGGGCCACATGTGAGCCCTACCACCCCAGACATGATCGCGTCGTAGAAAAATCAGGACAGACGGTTTTTGGCTATTTTCGGCCTCGGGGGGCCCTCGCCGGGCCTCGGGACCGTCAAAAAACGACTCAGGACGAAAAACCGGCCCCAGGGAAAGGGTCGGGACTTCTGGGGACGCCGTTCTGAAAAAATCAGGACGTCGCATGT